AAGGTGTGAAAAATGAAAAGTAAAAAGTGAAAAATGAAAAGTGAAAAATTTCATAAAGTTACATGATTGACCCCCTTGACATTTCACGTGAAACTTTTCACGTACAGTGATTATGTATGTAGCTTGGATGCGTGGAAAATGAAATCATGAAACATAGTTTCATAGATTTTATAGTGAATGAAAATGAAAATTATTTTATTGGTACAGTATTATATACATCTTTTAATAACCAATTGTATATGTATTACGTACACTTAATTCTAAGTGTCGGTCCACAATAAGTGATTTAAGCTTTAAAAAGTAAGAAATTGACCAATTATAATCAAATATGAAAAGAATACTCGACTATGATTAGTCAATTTCTTACGGCTTAAAGATTAAATATTTATTGTGGACACTTACGCAACTTTAATCTTCTCTCATTCCGAAGCATATTTAATTCCCTAGATTTCCGCCACCAAGATACATGGCGAAAAGTTCACGTGAAAAATTTCACATTTTCACATTTGAGAGAGTTACATGATCCCGCAAAATCCTACATGATCGTAAGTTCACGTGAAACTTTTCACTTTTCACGTTTCCGCCCTAGAGGAAAAGTTACATGATCGACCCCAAAAATGAAAAGTAAAAAGTGAAAAATGAAAAATTTCACGTAAAGTTACATGATTGACCTCCTGCTTTGGATGCTCTGCTTGCAGTATTGCGTAAACGAACACCAAAATGAATTTTATTAAAATAAGAAGCGAAAAGGGTCAGAAACAAATTAATCCAAGTAAAATAAGAATAATAAAATATAATTAAAATAAAAATAAGATGAAATAAAAAAAATAAGAAAAAGTAAGAATAAAAAATAAGAATAAAAAAATAATAAAAATAAGAAGAAATAAGAAAAAATAAGAATAATAAAATATAATTTACAAAAAATTAATATCTAACTTTTAAGTAAAATTTATAGATTAAATATTTTTTATAATATCCATTATTTATCAATTAAATTTAATATCAATAAAATATTATCTTTTATACAATAAAAAAGTTTTATTACATTTTAATTATTCGAATATAAATTTTCGAGTATAAAATTCTCTTTACCTATCATTCAAACAATCGGCTCAATTTCTATTGGAAGGTATGATCCGTGCAGTTATTCACGCAG